GCAGGATGTTGTTGGCTGTTCCTTTGTTGGGGCCTGGACGACCAGGGTGGGGGGAGAGTTGCTAGTTGCAGTTGTCCCAGTAGTGTGGCTAGAAATCACGTGGATCTCTCGTTCCCCCTTCTTCGCCAAGTTCTTGATGCGTTTTGAGGGTCGGGGAGCTTCGCCGACCACTTCAGCTTCCGGACGAGGCCGTTTTCCTTATGAAGGTTGCACGGCAGTTTTTCTTCTTTTAAAGAAAGCAGATTTCTTCTTAGCCGTAGTCACGGTGATCACGTCCGCTTTCTTCTACGACTGACCATCTGAGAAAACGAGATTACATTAGCAAGGATCAGTGATAATAGAAAAGAGAAATAGAAGAAAAGGTAGCTGTCTACCTCGGGTTGGCTCTTTGGATTAGGGGCAAAGATTTTCTTTGGTCGATCGCCGAAAATTTTATCGGTGACGTTTTCGACCGCAGCCCCAAAGAAGGCTCCAGTGTACTCTTCCCACCAGTCGCTAAAGGTGTCTGCTCCGAGAGATTTAAGAAGAGTTGGTCGGAGGTGAAATGTTCTGTACCAATCCTGAAACTCTTTCTTGGAGTCTCTGCACTTTCTCTCCGATGAGCCAGAAAGGCGTTCTCGGCTGAGGAGGGAACGGGAAGTGAGTAGAGGTACCGGACAACCTTGAAAGTATCCGAGTTGTCAGGCCGTGAAGTGGGGGTGGTAGACTTCCCAACTCACTCGGCGAGAATCACAACCAAGCGGAAAGTCACGTGCTAGCACGATCGACCCCTAATTCTGGCGAAGGGCAGCATCTTCACTTTCATTCCAGGCTGATGTTGGGAGCCTGATGGAGTAAGGGTTCTCTTGACGACGACACACTAAAAATTTATCGTCGGAGATGACTTCTAAGCCGAATAGGTACTTGAAGACTTCTTCAGCCTTGTGAGGAGGCGGCGACCGAGATGCCAACTGAAGGCTGAGCAAGGTAGTAGGTTGAAAGGCAGAGATGTCTGGCCGAAGTGTGGCGAAATAGACTTGTAGCCAGAGTTGGAAGACCCGGAGGGGACCGTTCTGGTTTGGGTCAATTTTCCTAATAATCGCCTTAGCCAAACAGCGAAAAAGATTGGCGAGAACGGCCGAGCTAAATGCCAGAGTATGACCATTGGCCAGGGCTTCGGCCACTAGCATGTTCTCGACCATACACTTGTTTGACCAGGTGCAACAAATAAATTTGTTGTACCAGTAGAATAGGAAGGCTTTGTGTTCTCCCTTTCGAAGACTTGCTTTTCCTCGGCCAGCAAAGTGGAGGATGAGGGTGTTGTAGTTGAAAAAGTTCTTATGTAGCTTCTGAACCTCTTCTTTCGAAAGCTCTTGACCATCTCGACTTAGTGTTTCGACGACTCGATCGTCGAAGAGCGCCTTAAGGTCGAGATTCGACAGGCGTCCAAAAAGAGTGGCATCTATCGAGATGCTTGAGGGAAGAGTCCCAAGAATAGCTGAGACATCGAGGATGGTAAGGTCGAGAGGGCCAAAGGAAATGACCATGGTATTGGTGGCCGAGCACCAGAGACTCAGCGCTGCCATAAGGAGTTCTTTATCCATTGCTAGCTCCATGGTTGAGAGTTTGATGGCATCATAAATACCAAGAGCCTTCCACTAATGGCCGAAGAAATTTTCCATTCAGACAACCCAAGCTGCCCAGTTGGCATTGGTCATAGGCTAGGCTCCTTGGGGCTTTGATAGGTCCCACTTTGACCAGTCGAACCCTTGCAGTAAGGGTGTTAGGCAGTGAGCCTTGAAGAGTGTGGTGATGGACGAAGGTACTGCATCTTTGAAGAGTGGCCTTAGGATTTGATGAGTAGTGCTCAGGTCACTCTTGAAGCGCAGGGTTTTGATGGCGCTTCGATCGATGAAGTTTTTGCATTTGCTGCATTCGTCGTTGAGCTTGGAAATAAAGGTGTTGGAAGTCATTTTGGAAAACCTGGGAGAGTTTTGGAGGAATACTTAAGAGGATTTCTAGGATAAGGGTTTGTTTTTTCTGGGATTTCGAAAGCAAAATGGCAGAGAGATTTTTCAAAGGTTTCTGGAAGCGTGAAATGTACAAATGGGAAGATTTCAGGTATTTATAGGTGTATTGAGAGAAAGGTCAAATGTTTGATGATCTGAGGTGTTTTGATTTTCAAATTTGAGGGAAAAATTGATCGGGAAATAGCCAATCATTTTGGATATCTCTGGAATCTCCAAGGATAGGATCGAGGTTCTCGAGGTTTTAGGACGCACGATTGCGTGCGGCGGCAGATTTAATGCATTGATGAGGAAAAGACGCTTCGGCGGGTGCACGGTTTCGAGGGCCATGATTAAGGGCTATTAGGTTTATTGGAGAATCAACACGTGGCAGGACATCTGGAAAAATAGAGATCGTGCAATCATATTTCATAAATGCACATGGTGGTGGTTATCGAGACGGTTAGGTCTAATGGTAAAAGACGTTTTCGCTTCTTCAAGGTCAAGGCTCTATCGAGGATTGACGATTGACGACCTCAGAAGCGAGGGGGCAATGTTTAGGCCCAGGCCCAAAATAATATTATTGGGCCGAGTGTGGATTTATGTTCGGCCCAAAGTTTTTTTAATATGCTATGGGCTGCCTGGTGGTCCCGAGCCGTTCAGCAAGGATGGTCGAATCCTATCTCAAGAAGGAGTAGTTCGGACGAGCGAATGGGTCGAAGAAGTCCTGATACGATAAGAGGTCTTAGTGCAATTTGGATTCTCGACCAGCAATGAATACGGCCTAAAAAAGTGGTGAGTTTAAAGTCCTAATAGGAGTAGGATTGGTCAAAGTGGAGTTGGAACAGAACAAGAAGTCCCAATCCAGGAATGATTTTGACTCGATCCCAAGGAGGATTTAGTGCTATAAATACAAGACATCATGCAACAATCAGGCCCTCTCGAATTTAACACACAATTGCTCTGCGCAAACCTCTCAAACAACTTGAGATTTTTCGTTTTCTTTTTCTGCCAACACATCTTCAGTTTGGATAAACAGCACTGTGGAGGCAACCAGCGAACATCTTTAGTTTGGATAAACAGCATTGTTGCCGAAGAATCAATCGACCAAGGGGTATTTCAATTTGGATAAACAACACTACATCGAGGCCGACTGGTTATCTATCCAAGTCTCGGTCGAGAAAGGTTTCCGGATCCTTGTGGGCAGAGGTCATCTTATTAGCCTTCTCGGCGAAGTAAGGTGTTATGAATTACAACATTCGGCACATTGAACACCGAGTGATTTTATGATTGGATACTCATAAGTGAGTTTCAGAGTTCGGCATTCTGACGGCCGAACTACATTTACCATCAAGACATACATTACCTTTGAGTACTTGTGTCCATATAGTCTGGTGTCGATTCGACGTGCTTATACACTCACGAATATAATCACTGTGACCAAATTCGGCGCCGACGATTCGTTAACTTCGCAGAATTAACAGCCTTGTCTTTAGGCTCGAGAATCTAAAAGCCGAGACTTGTTCCTTCCTTAGCCGCAATCGCAAGATAAAGAAGTCAGCAACGTGCTCAACGCAACATCAACAAATTTTACTCCTCAACCGAGCTCGTCCGACGAGTTGGCACGCCCCGCATTCAACCGAATGACGTAGTTACCTTATTAGTTACTCGGCTTGCGTGCCACGTAGGTTTTGTAATTTTTAGAGTCAACAAATTTCAATAATTTTTCAGTTAAAATTTCGAGTGACACGTATGTGAGAAATTAAAGGAAAGATGTGGCCATTTGAAAATTATTGAAAAAAAATTAAAAGAAAGATTATTGGAAGAGGTAAGAGAATAAAATGTGAAGAATTGAAATAAAATAAGGTAAGATAGTATGGAATGGTGAAAAGTATGTGAGAAAATGTGTAGAAATGGTTTAGGTATTTATAGGGGAAAAAAAAATTCGTCCAAAAAAAAAAAAAAAAATCAAATTTCAACAGTAACATGACGTCAGCTAATTGTTGCATTTGAATTAGGCCGGGCTGGAGGGCTAGCTGGTTGGCTGGAATAGGCCAGGTCGCTGGCTTGATTTCAGTTTTTTGGCCCGATGGGTCGCACTAGCCCTTTGGCCTAACCCTCGATTGGAGACGATTTTCGTGTCATCCCGAGCTATTTTTAGCCCTATGACCCTTTAGCTGGGTCACTTGGAGATGGCCTTACATGCATGTTTTCGGCCATCACTATAGCATCTTATAATGTTTGAGACTAATAGCACAATGTTATGCCATGTCTATATCTTTATTCACGTGATATTGTGTTACTGATTAAGACATCACTGCAATGGTAATTTAAATTTAACACTACATTAAAAACTCGTTTGAAAATCATTTTGTTTTTTGTTTTTATTTTTCACTTTTGTGTGTGTTTTAGATGTGAGAAAGATACATACGAGAAAGGAGGTTAATGTGAGCCTAAGGATATTCAAGAGGGCATTTTAGGACAATACCGACAATCAATGAAAACGAGTTATCTAACAATTTTTAGCTCCCAACCTCTCACACCATTAGTAACAAATTTTGAGAGTGCTAAATTTTATGAATAATGACAATTTGACAGGCCAAATAAAGCCTTTAGCCCCTAGCCCTTGCCCTTCCACTAGGCTTGCTCTTACATCTCTCTATCTCCAACCATCCTTCCTCCACCCTTCTAGTTCCCCCATTTCTTCCACGACTTTTTCCATAACATAACACAAAAATGAAAACTAAAAATTAAAATTAAAAACAAAATAATTATCAAACGGACGCCAAAGTTTTTAAATTTCACTGAAATTTTCTGGTAGATTTGCGCATTACTCATGACCAAGTTCTCATTGGTTGTGAATGATAATGTTATAAAGGGTCTCCGGCAATGCACTCACACAGGCACGTAAACGACTAATGCTCGCATAGTTTCCGAAAGCGAGAAAAATGGTTCCAGAACTCAGTTTTCAGAGACCAAATTAGAAAGTAAAAGAAATGTTTGATCACAAATACATCAGGAACCACACCAATGGAAACTCCGATTAACAATGTTAGTTGATAGTAAACATTGTCATCCATGAAATAAGAAACAGGTTAAGTAAACCACCACGGAGCAAGACAGAAAACGCATACATGAACATATCACACACACCCACAATTTGCAAATCAATCCAAACTACATATATTCACACAATGTCATAGAATCAGTTAAAGCTCCAATCATTGGGCCGAACTTTTCTTTACCGCCAGGCTTCAATCCGCTCCATCGTTGAATCTATGCGACTCAGGGTGCTGATTCCCCTAGCCTTCTCAATAAGCCCTGTTTCCCTTATTACAGACTTCTGATCACTTAGTCGTTTAGGCCCTGTTTTGATAGTTAAATTACTCGACTGACCAGGCGTGTCCGCTTGAACTTCAGATGTCATCTTGCTGGCTCTGCCAGCTTCCATTTCATTAACCAAGTAGTCATCTTGCACTGCATTCTCGCAACACCCACTGCCGTCAGGATTTAGCTTCTTTACCAGCCTCACCAAACTGCTAGCCTCTCTATTGGTTAGGTTACTGACTTGGTTAGAGATGGAGGAACTTTCAGATTGAGGTTCTTCAGTAATCACTGACTGCTCTTTCTCTTGGTTACATTTGCCAATATCTTCCTCAAAGGACTGGGAAGGGCTCTGGTGTCCATTATCGTCAGAGGGCTCTACATTGCACACAGGAGGCTCTACCGCAGAATCCTTTCTTTCTTGCAATGTCTTCAAAATAAGTGTTTTGAGGAAGTTCATCACTTGGACTGCATACATCAATGCAGTCAAAGGATCTGCCATCTGAAACCAAATAACTCAGTAAAATCTGTCAACGCTCCAACCATTCAGTAAGGGATTAAAATTATACTGTTATCTTCTATTCCTTTTTTTTTTAAAAGGGGATTAAAATTAACATGATAATGAACATAGTGCGAAATCATTTAATGACTTTCTATGCAAAACTACAATGATCCAAAACCAGGGCAGCGGGAGGTGTCTCGGTGATGCTTTATATCTTTGTATGTCATATAGGACAAAGCTTAGCATACAACATATGACATAGTAATATCCTCAACCCTTAAACAAAAAGAAGATGTGAACTAACTGGAAATTTAAAAATGTTATACATGTCCTAAACTAAATAAACAATAAGAATAAAGAATGCATTCATGCAGCGAAAGCGAGTATCCAAAATTCCAAATTAGTGATTTGATTCTAAGAAAGTCTACATGCAATCTTTCAGGAAGATATTAATTATGCTTTCAGACTAGTGGTGTTATATCAAATGCACTCTTCAGGGAAGATGGAAAAAACAATGAATAGGAAACTATACACACCTGAGTCATGTTTGGTGCAAAAACCATGGCTATGTTGCGTGCATTCATCTTGTTTAGATGTTCCTGTTGAACAACATCAGCCATAAGGTTGATGGCCCAATCCAGTAGAGAAGCTTCAGTCGGCGGCAGAAGCCTCACAAGTTGTGAACAGTCATCTTCAGTCTGGCATTGCATTACCTGCTCAGGCGATAGAGAGTCCAGAACCCCGGCTGGGAGTTCCCTAAACCAAGCCTAAATATCCAAGTAAACATCAGGTGAATGTATAAGGAATCAAGATAATGCAAGATGATATAAACAGAAGGTACAGCAATGAAGAACATTGCAAATCCAAGTGTTGACTTCGCAAACCAAATTTTGGATCTTAGTATAAGGAGAGTAAGAAATAGAGGAGAGAGACTGGGTAAACAGAAGAAAGGAAGCGAAGATCAATAGGGAGCCCAAATGGTTTCATTATTTCGTAAGTCATGCTGTCCCAAAAGAGTTGCACCATGACCTATTTATGAGGCCAATTTGAGAAGCCTTCAAAATCAAATTCCTTAGTGAAAAAACTCTTAACAAAATCAAATCAGTAATCGAATCCTTAATTGACTTTCTAATCAAATCCCTAAAATAGGATGGAAGTCTCAAAATAGTAATTATTCTTTTTATACTCTTCACCACTCTCCATGGACCCCTGCTAGACAAACTTGTCACCTGCGAGTTAATTTCTGGTTGAGAACAAAAAATGAGCCTGTGATGGCACAAGTATACAAAATTCAAAATCATTCTCCAGCACTTCCATTCATTATCGAGGAAAGGGTACACAAGATAGTGACAACTGACCAATTAGGCTCAAGGGTTCCTCAACCAAACAACGATCATGCTCAAATTTGTGTACTTGTTGTGTCTTAAACTGTGCTTTTAGCATGAGCCCTTGTGGCTTTTTAAATAGAATTCACAATGAAGTTCAACACATCTGAGTAGAAGACAATTCATAGAGGCAGATAAACAATGAACACAGAAAAACATTCCATAAACCCAATCTGCAAAATAAGAAGGATTTGAGAGAGAATTAATTCCCAGTGAAATGTTCCTACAAGGGCCTCTCCAATTGGAATCTCACCTGTTTTTCTCTTTATTTTAATTCTTTGTCCCTAACATTAAAGAGCCAGTCTGAATCCCACTAAATCAAATCCCATAATCAACTCCCTTGAAAATTAAATCACTAATTAAGTACTACTAAATATCTGAATATAGTTAAGTAATTATCCTCAAGACTCTCTTTACCTGAGAACTACCCGGAAAAGATACATACCAGGACATCATCAAACTTAATTTTCCTGTTATAATTGTCATGCTATAGAAGAGTTTTGTTTTTCTCTATCAAGATTCATCAAAACCATGGTAATCAAGGGGCTAATGAACTCGTACAAACAGTCACAGCATAACAAAAGTCAGCACAATATTAATGCAATGGCTTAGAATAGTCAAGAACCTTTTGATCACACCATTCAAAAGATGGTGGTATAAATACCAAGATGGTAAGGGTGGAGGTGGATCGCAAAAGAACCATCAGTGGTGGTGTTAACCTGATGCAACGCTTAGAAATTATAGTAGAGTAGGATTTCCTTTTAACTTTTCCTTAATTGAGATGAGTTTCAGGCACGACACCCTGTGTTAAATATAGGAAGCTTTTGAACTCCTTGCTCTACATTGCAACATAATAACATACAATGCAGCTGCCTGTGTGTAGACATCTATCTATATGTCCTTAATGTAGCAAAAGCAATCCATATAGTTGGGGGGCATACCACAGAAAGCTGATTAGTTGGCCGTACTTAAAACCCATTTTGCCAACAAAGGTGAAAGGGTCATCTAGAAAACATGTCTTTTGCAAATGAGTAAAGTAGCAAAAGGACTCTAGCTTTGATGTAATTCCTGACCAAAGATACAACAATTAACAAACGTTCTATATGTTTCATTTTGTTCAGATGTATAACTGCAATGGTTGCATAAATAGAGTGTAAGATCAACACTGAAATTAAAAGTTCGTAAAACGAACTGACAAAAAAACATACAGTTGAAGTTCATTGTTGAAGTCTTAAAGCACGTCGCATTTGTTTAAGACACATTAAATTCATATACACATTGAACTTCATTTGGGACTTTTTTGGCACGTAAATTTCTGAAAACTTGAAAAGGAAATAATTAGTCCAAAAGGAGCTATTAATTACATCCCTGTATCACTATCCTAATTCATCACTCAGATCATCTCACTTTCACGGCTTCACATATTTCATGCAAACAAGCATATGCCAAATATGATGCAATACATTAACTATCAATCATAATGCTCTACCTTGATCAGTCCTGCCAAACAGTGTATATCGATGCCTTCTGGTACATCTCCCCTATTTAATTGGTCCCTTACATGCTCCTCTTGACTGTTTTCGGCATTAATTCTGAAAATCCCTTCTGCCTACATGTATAATCGAACAATATGAAAAAACTTCAGGGGCAACAATATAGAAGCAAAATTACCCCATATCAACACAGGAAATACAAAAGATGAAACAACTATAGTTTTACCAATTCTTAAATAAGAATTCATGATATGAATATGGAAAGCATGGAGGGAAGTGAATACCTGAAGGCCTCCTTCAGCATATAACCGTCCTTGCATAAGCAAGAGAATTGTTGGCACACTATTACCTCTAGAGTCGTATGACAGCTGCATGGACTCCGTGGAAACTCCAAAAACAGTTGTACTACATGGTAAAAACTTAAAGTCAACGGATAAACAAAGAGACAGAAATGAGAATACTTGAATGATTATCTTTCTAAACAAAACAAACACTACCAAGCTTTGATTCAGGAACAAATAGTTGAGCTGATGTAATGTTGTAAAGAGTTCCTTACACATTGTGCAATTGCAAAGTTTCATCTCATTCATCTGCGATGATCCTGAATGAGATTGAATCCGCAATTGTCAATGTCATCGCCCTTACTCAATCGAAGACACCACTCGACCAACCCATCGGGAAGGTAACACCTTTAACCAATCCACAACTAGGCCGAAATCAAGGAGGTTAATAGAACATAATCAGGCAATGCATGTACCTCAGAATGTCGAGGTTTAATCAAATCCGGCCAAACCAAAAAAAAATCAGAAATCGACTGTAGTGTACCCTCACAATCTCAATAATTCCACAGCAAAACAAAAACAAAACTATATAAACAACATGCACTATTAAATTCAAGAAATTCACAAAATTTCAATATCAAGCAAAACCCATCGACCAAAACCAACTGCAAGCAAAGCCCATCAACTAAAAACAAATGCAAGCAAAACCCATCGACCAAAACCAATAATTAATCAACTGCGACAACTGGGTTAAACCCACATTGACATTTCACCCAGAAAGGTAAAAAAAGAAAAGTTACCTTGCACTGGGAGGCCTACTGGGCACTTCAGGTTCAAACTCCACGGGCAAACCCAAGAACCCATTGAACCTATCAAAGGTGACATGGGCAACGTGCCGCACATTGGTTGGCCATCCGATCTCCATAGAGCAAACCTGCCTCCTGTCACTCTTGCACGGAATCAAAGATTTCCTGAAAAAGGTGACCAGCAACGCCAACAGAGAAAGCTGCTCCCTTCTGCGCTTGTCACGGTCCTTCGCCTCACAGTCAGCCACCGCAGAGTCGCAATCGTCGTCCTCTTTGCTGCGGGGGCGTGCGCCGGACAAAGAAGACGGGGGTGCGCAGGACAAGGAGACGGATGAAGAATTGGAAGGAGGAAGAGGGGAAGAGGAGCTGGGTCTTGGGGAGGAACAAAAATGGGAAGGGGAATGGAGAACCTCTGTCATGGCTGGCAACGAAAGCAACCCCTTTTCTTTTTCTTGATTAAAAAACAAAAGAAAGCGTTTTCAAGATTGTTTCTTTGGCTTGGTCTTGCTCAAGGTTTTGCAGAGGAGGGAGGGAGAGAGAGAGAGAGAGAGAGAGAAAGAGAGAGACAGTTGGATGATAATTGGATTGAAAGGAAAGGAAAGGGTCTCATTTGGGGAATGCAATGTGGGACGTGAGTATCATTAACTGAAATAAATATGTTTTTTTTTTTTTTTTTTTTTTTTTTTTTTTCTGTTTACAGAGGGGAGAGAGAGAGAGAGAGAGTTGAGGATTTGGTGGGAAGTCATGACTCATGAGAGAGAGGAAGTAAAATACGGTAGGTTTTGGACGGCTTTAATTTTCTACGCGTAGGTTTTAATTAAGCCTCCACAATCCACATCGCCCCTTAGTTTGGCAGCTCACTGTAGACTCTAGATGAAGTTGGAGAGCGAGGTTGGCTGGCGGCAGGTATTTGGCATTCGACAAGTTTGTAAACTGGGTATATTTTTGCTGGCCTCTCACTCTCGAGTCGGTATAAAAATAAAAAAACTGTGAAACCAAACCTAATCCAATTAAAAAATTATAAAAAATCGGGTTGACCAAAACCGTTCAAACTTGGACCGGAAGCGAACCAGTTTAAAACGGTTCCACTTCATTAAATTTTTTTTTTCTTTAAATCTAATTCTTTAGCCCTTGTTTGACATAAGGGCAATGCTAGTGAGACCTAATTTATAGATAAAATTTTGAAAACTAAAAGACATGAAAATTGATGATTGGTTTATTACTTAAGCGTCGATAAACATGTTCATTTCTGTTGGTGACACATCATTTGTTTGCATATTTTATCTTCAAATTTAGTGTGTCTAGCATTACCCTATATATAAATACTAAGCCCAAACTAAAAACCCATATATAAAATTCTCAAGTACAAAAGTCAAACCCTTGGTTATTACCTCACCTCATCCATTCAACTATAGTCCTTAGTTCACATTCCAATTTTCATCCCTCTCTCTTCTCTTCTTTTTCTCATTTATCTTTATGCATTATGTGCACCTTAATTTTATATTAGGATGTACGCTTCGGTCTTAGTCTAAAGCTTTCTACCTTTTGATTTATATTTATATGTAAATTTTCTATCTTCCGGTCACAAATATTGTAGATCTAGTAGTGGGAACTCAAATTTGCTTGAATTTGTGGTTAAAATGTGTTTGATATTGGAAGTAGATACAGATATATATATATATATATATATAATTTTGGTTAGAACAGTAAACCGGCATAAACCAAATTGAAATCAGTATAAACCGAACTGTACGGTAAATTAATTAGGGTTTAGGTTTGTAAAAATCACCATCGCCAAAGCCAATATATTAAAATTGGCTGGCATAGGTATGTAGGTATGTAGTTTGTTAAAATCACCATTGTTTTGTAAAGATTTGTGACAAGAAAAAAAAAAAAAAAAAAAAAAGGCTTTATAGGTATGTAATATGTCTTACCTAATCCTTATTTACGTTGTTTTCTCTCTTTCGATAGTAATATCTTTTATCATTAATATATTATTGTTTTACAAAAACATCTTTGACGTCATAGGTGAAAACCGGACAAAATGAACAAAAAATATGATGACATGGACACAAATTACGTTTCAAGTGAAGTATCATATGGGCGTGTTTGTTTAGCTTCATTAGATCTCACTGGACTGGACTAGACTAAAAGCTAGTGTAGTCCAGTATTTGTTTGCATGAGGGACTAAGTTTAATGAGACTAGATGGAATTCGCCTTGACTAAAACACCTGCTAGGTGGTCTTAACGAGACCCCTCGAGAAAGAGGGGACTGCTAAGACCCTCTTCTCCTTCACTTCGCCCTTACCCAGTCCCCGCTTCTCTCTTTCTCTTTGTATTTCCTCTCTCTGCTTGAAGCTTTAGATGTTCATGGTGGTTGCACTATCGTTGATCATATGCGATGACCCAAATTCTTCCACCACCGACATCAGCCATGGGGGTTGGACAGGAGCAGCTTCGTTGCTCATGGTGACCCAAATTCTTCTGCTGACATCATTGTTGCTCAGAGATGGTGACCTGGGATTTTGAAATTAACAAGTTTTGGGTGCGAAGGGTTAGGTTGGAAACATAGTATATGGAAATTTCGTGCAAAAGATTGGTGCAAGATTGAAAACTTTAGCATCGGGTGCAGTGAAGTTAAGTGATTTTTCTTGCACAACTATGATTTGCCCAGAAAATACAAGTACCAAATCTGAAGAAAATGGAAAAATAATTACAAAGGGAAGGATGGGAGAGGGGAACCTAGTATAGAATTGGTATAAAGAAAAGGAGGGACAAAAATGGGAGAAAGGGGAATGGGGAGGGAGAGGCAGAGAAAAAAAAAATGAAAGAAGAGATTGTAGAGGAAGATGATTCTAGAAAAAGGGAGAGGATCCTCTCCGGACCCAAACCCTCCGGATCCTCCTTCTTCTCTTTCTTTTTTGCAAGGCTTTTTAGCCAAAATAGTCTCTGAGATTTGCATAACTCCTCACTTTGGTCCCTGAGATTTCAAATCAATAGAAGTGGTCATTGAGATTGTCCACCATCCATCATTTTGGTCCTTCCATTAAAAACTCCGTTAAGTGTTCCGGAGCTTTTGGCCAGAAGTTTGGGCAATTTTCAAAGCTTCGTAACTCAATCGTTTCTTAACCAAATTCGACCCATAATATATCAAAATGAAGATAGGAAAATGTAAAATAAGATTATACTTATTTGGAAGCCCAATGGTTACTGGATATTTTCAGAAAATAGCATCAAAGTTGACTGGTCTGAGAGAAAACTGGAAAACTCGCCGAAAACTGGGCAAACTTTAAATGTTCATAACTTCTTCAATACTTTACGAAATCAAGTGACTCAAAAGTAAAAATCATACTTCTTGATGAAAAGAAGAGAATGGTACCATTTTCAGCGGCTAACTCACCATGGTTTGGCCGTAAAACGGCTCGAACGTGGCTGTCTTGGTCTCGAGTTAGCCACTTTCGAGCCATTTTCTGGCCAAACCACGGCGATTTAGCCGCTGAAAAATGTACCATTCTCTTCTTCTCGTTGAGAAGTATTATTTTCTTTTTTGAATCACTTGATTTTGTTGCGTATTGAAGAAGTTATGAACGTTTAAAGTTTGCTCAGTTTCTGGCAAGTTTTACAGTTTTTCCTCGGACCAATCAACTTTGAGGCTATTTTCCAATCATCTCCGGCAACCATTGGCTTCCAAGTAGGTATAATCTTATTCTACACTTTCCTATCTTCGTTTTAATATATTATGGGTCGAATTTGGTTAAGAAACGATTGAGTTACGAAGCTTTGAAAATTGCTCAAACTTCACGCCAAGAGCTCCGGGACACTTAACGGAGTTTTTAACGGAATGACCAAAATGATAGATGGTGGACAATCTCAGGTACCACTTCTATTGATTTGAAATCTCAGGGACCAAAGTGAGAAGTTATGCAAATCTTAAGGACGATTTTGGCTAAAAAGCCTTTTTGCAATTTTTCTTCTACTTCTTCTTCACTAACCCTTCTTCAACAATCCTTCTTCTTCAATTTTGCATCTTCAATTCTGCATCTTCTTCTTCACTTTTTTTTGTTTGTTTGTTTATAGATAAACTTCTACATGCTTAGTTTTATGCAAGCACGATCGTTGATGACTATTACGTCGACGTTGCCAATTACTAGCGTTGGGGAGGCACAACGCCAACTTTGGAGAAACCCGACGCCGACTCCAGAAAAGCCACGACGTCGGCTCGGCCTTTAAAGAAGAAGGATCCGCAGGATACGGAGGGTTTGGATTCGGAGAAGATCCTCTCCCCTAGAAAAATAGAAAAAAAGATAAAGTAATAATAAAATATTAATTGATATATTAAATTAACAATAAAATATTAATATTAATAGATTAAATAATATAATATTACAATCATGTTTTTTAGTTGGACATTGCATCAAAAACTTCACTAAATCAGTCTAGCTTACTTAATTTTAAACCAATTCAGCTTAGTCTCTGAATCTAATCCAGTCTAAAATAATCCGGTACAATAAACGCACTCTATAAGTTTTAAAAGCATTTCAAGATATAAGCGTGACATTAAAAAGACAGTTACGTCTTCTCGCATATCCATTTCATATTATTTAGAACATAATGCCAAAACACCGATTTAACAAATTAAGCTTAGCATGAAAACAAAAACGTAAAACAATTAAAATATAATATTAGTGCCGGGAGAAAATATCGGCTTAAGTATGAAGAAGATTAATCTCCATCTCAGACTTATTTTCCTGATCAATAACATCAAGAAAAACCGGATCAACGGTCAAGTGACTATCCACGTGGATCTTAAACTTGTGGTCCCACCACAAAACCCTTGCCGCACCGACAATATCCACAGCGGCGTCCAGCACCATCTCCCGCCTCGCCGCGTCGGCAATAAAGCTAGCGGCGTGGTGGGCCATCTGGAGGCCGTAGAGGCGAGCTGGGAGGAGGATCTTCTGGGAGGACTTGGCGGGCTGAGAGCCTGCCTCGACTTGGGCGGTACCGAGGAGGGAACCCTTGTAGAAGATGGACATGGTGGTAGAGGAGTAGTGGATGGGGGCGATGTTGGGGTTGGTGACTTGGACGGTAAGGATGAGCTCGGCGTCGAGGAGTGGGAAGTTGAGCTTGAAGGAGGTCAACTTGATGGACATGACGTCGAAGGTGGGGTCCTTTGGTTTGGAAGATATTAGAGCTGTTGCGGCTACGGCGGTCGCCGCCCCGACGAGAGCTTTGTTCCAGCTCCATTCCACCTTCAAGTCCATTTTCTACTCGGTTTGCTCGGAGTTCAGACAGACAGAGCGGCGGGCAGCGGAGTTGAGATGAGTTAGGATTGGGTTTTGAGTTATGAACTCAAGTGTGTGGTCTTTAAATATTGTCGTCCTGGAGTTCATTTTGGGAAAAGACGCTTGAGACAAAGTGCACGGTTTTGGGGAGGATAATGAGAACAAAATTTTAAATTAAAAGTTTTGTCTAGTTTTTGTTGATAATTAAATTATTACATATGTATTAACATGTTTATTTTATACTGATGACACATTATATAGTTAGTAAATTTAGTCAAAAAATTTGGTTTACTTAACATTACTCTTTGGTGAATGGATGTCCAAAGTAGTATCTTGTGCCAAGTGTCTGTGTGTCGCACCGAACTTTCAACCTTTCCATTTGCTTGTTTTGGAAAATTCTTCTAGTAGTATTTATTCACATGAAAAATGAATGGCTAAGAGTAAAAGGAAAAGATCTAAGTCATTTAGTATTACGTCTAATAGTATTTTTTAGCGAAAAAGTGGTTTTAGGTTCGATTCTCTCCAAAGACAACTTTGAACTATATTCAATGAGGCTTAGCTACTCTCTCACCTATTAGTGTAAATAATATTGCATGTATATAATATATAATCTAACGGCTAAAACAATCGATAACATTAAATATTACGTAGCATTCAAATCAGACCCATAATTTATTATTTTGTTTGAAAGAATTTTATTCAATCAAGCATTCCCAAAACCTTGGAGCGTGGACAATTGAAGGAGGAGTTAAAATTCTTCATTACTCCTAGCTAGCGTATTATTTATTTATTCACTCTTTCTAGCTAGGATTTATTCTCTCTTAGTTATTCTTCATTAATCAGGTTTGGAAGTTTTCCCTTAATTTTTTCATTTGCCATTGTTCAAATTGAAGTTCCAAACCTGATTAATGCAGTTTTCCCTTAATTTTTTCATTTCCCTTAGTTTTCTCTTAGCGTATTATTCATTTATAACTTAATATAACTCCAATTTTACGAGCCATTATTAACACATCACTTTGGTTATTGAGATTGAAAATCAATACAAATGGTCCATGAGATAGTCCAGCATCCATTATTTTGACCATTCCGTTAAAAATCCATTAGGTATCCCTGAGATTTTGATCGGAAGTTTGAGCAATTTTTAAAGCTTCGTAACTCAATCGTTTCTTAACCAAATTTGACCCATAATATATCCAAAATTAAGATAGGAAAGTGTAGAACATGATTATACCTATTTGGAAGCCCAATGGTTGCCGGAGATGGCCTGAAAATAGCCTGAAAGGTGACTGGTTTGTGGGAAAATTAGAAAACTCGTCGGAAACTGGGTAAATTTTAAACATTCATAACTTCTTCAATACTCAACAAAATCGAGTGATTTAAAAACAAAAATCATACTTCTTGATGAAAATCGAGTGATTGAAAATGGCTAACTCGAGACCAAGACAACTACTTTCGAGCCATTTTCCGGCCAAACCACGACGAGTTAGCTGTCGATAAAGGTACCATTCTTTTCGTCTCATCGAGAAGTATGATTTTCATTTTTGAATCATTCGATCTCATTGAGTATTGAAGAAGTTATGAACATTTAAATTATACCCAGTTTTCGACAAGTTTTCTAGTTTTCCAGCAGATCAGTCACCTTTCAGGCTATTTTTCGGTCATTTTTGGCAACCATTGCACTTCCAAATAAGTATAATATTGTTATACACTTTCCTATCTTCATTTTGATATATTATGGGTCGAATTTGGTTAAGAAACAATTGAGTTACGAAGCATTGAAAATTGCCCAAACTTCCGGCCATGAGCTCCGGGACACTTAACAGAGTTTTTAATGGAAGGACCAAAATAATGGATGGTGGACAATCTTATGGATCATTTCTATTGATTTTCAATCTCAGGGACCATTTTGGCTAAAAAGCCTTTAACAATATGTGGAGTGTCAATAAAATAGCCCAAACAAGAAGGCAATAAACTGTTAGTTTTACAATAAATTATGATTTAGAATTGCTCATGCTTGATAATCATTTCTTTAAGCTCTCCCACCACCTCTCCCTTTTTCCACTCCTCATTTCTCTCATATACTTTCTCCTTTAACTCTAAGCAGAATAAAACTAAAAACTAAGCCAACGAGTGGTAATGATCTTCTCTTTCCTAGATGAAGACCTAAGTTCAAGTCCTGCCATTGATAATTTCTCTTGGTGGGCGATCTGCAGCTAGAGGCTGATAAAGACTAGTAACAGTCTACTAGTCATGTGACTTATGCCTAGCAGCAACAAGTATTGATGCTGTTTTGAGTTAATTGGCAACCAAAAATTACTAGCTTTTGTCCTTTTTTTTCTTTTTTCCGAACCAAAATACTAATTTACTCCAACCTAATATGCAATTGGTTGAAGGCGGCCCTAACCACTAGGACAATCCACCGCGTGAAAAATACTAGATTGTTGGTTGTTCCAAAATTTTGCAACAAGATAAAAGTAAAATTGGGCAATGGAGGAACGAAGTTTGGCCATAAAACCACTTTGATGCTATAAGCTGCAGCCTCCAGGTAATTAACATTGTTGGAAATTAAATATTATAATTATTCTATTATAATAATTAATTATAAAATATGAATGAAAAATAAGAGTCAGTCAAGTGTTAAAGGTTATGTATCAAATGGTGCCAAAAGGGAAGCCATCCCCTTTAGTGATGTGTCTGTTAGAGGGTATTACTTAACTGCCTAAACCCTAAACGATACATCTCTTCGGCAAAAAGTATACTTGAGTTTTATAAAAAAAAACTCAAGAACTATTGTCTTTTAAGATATAGAATGAAGAGAAGAGTTTTCTTCAAGGTCTTTTATTCTTTGTTAGTCATATTCTAAGTCGTGTCTTCAGAGTACGGAATGTATGAAGTTCGCCAGAGTCCGAAGATTGAAGTGTTTTGACTTTGGATTATAGATTGTTGAATCCTGGGAGATGGACGCCTACTGAACTACAAGCACAAGAGTCACTACAAAAAAAGTAGTCATTACCAATGAAGATTTTCCTAGGCCCCCAAAAAACCGTCATAAAAAGCATATTTTGCGACCATAAAATATGGGTCGTCGGTAATATGGCATGAAACAAATTTTTATTACCAACACACATAATGTCCTCGAAAAAGGTCACAAGTTTCATTAGAAATGCACTTTTGTTTGCCAGGAAAAATGGCGCCAGTTTATTTGTCAAAAATAGAATGGTTATTTCCAAAGGTTTACTCATGTTGACGAAATTGATTTAGTATATTTGAGGGAAAAAAAATCCTCTTGGTAATGTTTTTATATTTTTGAGGGAAAAAAGTCCCCTTGGTAATGCTTTTATATTTTCAAGGGTGATTAGTTGTTGTCGAAAGTAATCATATTTTTTCCGACAAAATTTTTTCTTGGTCAGAATAAATGTTAAGGCATATGGTTTTGTTGGAATCAATTATTTACCAATTGGTCTAGAACAAAGTGGCCTGTCCCTTGTTGTCCATGACCTTGGCTTAAGGTACTATGGTATTCATGACTTTATATGAAATCCTTGATTTTATTTATATTATATATGTACATATATATATATATATATGTATAGTTAGTTAGTTAGTTAGTTAGGTAGTACTTGAGTGCTTCTATAAATCTGTTGACCTTAAAAATTACACAAAGTACGACGCACGCCGATCGAGTAACTTAATGAGTTAACTACGTCCTTAGATGGTTGATTGTTGTCGGCATGCCAACTCGCTACCTAGCTTAGCCGAGCTAATACTTTTGAATGTGGTGGTATGATGGAATGTGCTCCCGACTCCGGAATCATGTGACCTTGGTTGAGGAAGCAACACTTTTGGCCTTGGATTCTATAACCTAAAGACAAGGTTGTGTAACTCGCAACAAAGTTCTAGGTCCTTACACTGGGTTCGGCAACCTCAACTATTTTAGTGAGAATATAGGTCCCTCGAACTATATTAGATTGTAGAGATAAAGATACTCAAATGAGAAGACTGTCTTTATTGTAAAATTGGTTTGGCAGTTGATATGTCAAACTCTGAATGTCACATAATATCCGATTATAGAACACTCCACTTCACCTAGAAAGCTAATGCAGTGACGTCGTTCGACAAAAGAATCAAAGACTCTTCACTGGCAAAGACTTAGGATAAATAACAAGTCAAAAAGGAGAGCTTGTTGTTTAACCATATTTTCAAGACTCCTTAGATGAGCTAATTCTACAACTGAGGTGTTTACCCAAATTATCACCTTCATTGTTTGCCCTTGAAAAATTTTGTTTAACCAAATAGTAATAGTCCATCGGCTACCAACCCAAACCTGTTTAACCAAACTAAATTTGTGCTGACTTTGTTAGTGGAGCAGTTAGTGTTTATTTATTTTTAATATTTCATTTTTCTAATATTTTGTTTATTATTTGATTAATTAGTTATAAGGGTAAAGTTGTCAATTTATTAGCAGAATTTGACTGAAGGAGTTATATGAAAATGAATTTAAACCTGAAGGGTATTAGTGTAATGTCTCAAATGTGTGGAGGATTTTGTGAAAACTCGATAAACCTTAAGTGATATTAGTGCAACCAACCTTGAACAAGAGCGTGCATAAAAAATAAAAATAAAAAAAAGGTGTGCAGAGGTCATTTTTTATCTCTATATTCTTCCTAGTTTTTAAACAGTTGTTTCTCGTTGGGCACAAACAAAACAACAGTATAAAATGCTTGATTTAGAACTTTTTGGCTCAGGTATTAGACTTGTGTCCCTGGCATTTTGCTTTCAAACGTTAAGGTAAGATCTCTTCAAAAAAGTTAACTTGATCGGGTTTGGTTGTCAAATTTGAGCATACACTAGGAATTTAATATTCATGGGCGATGAAATGAGCAAAATTTGTAATATGTTTAGGCATGATCTTGTCCATAAAATGACAAACAAACATCTGTGGAACTTCAATTACAAGAAGAAACATTGTAACCTTCATCTCCAATTTTGAAATCAGAAAGGCCTGCAGCAACAGCACAAACCCTAATCACCACTTTTTCTTTAGGGTTCATTCAACCCTGAACCTTATAAATATTGCCCTTGTGGCCAACCATCTCATCAGACGACCAAACATTAATAACACAATATTGAATATTTCTACAATTTAATCAAGTTTCCAACTATGGCAGCTCTCAAATTCTTTTCACTACTAATTGCTTCAATCGCATTTGTCCAAATGGCAATGGCCGGAGACCCGGACATTATTACCGACTTCATTGCTCCTCCAAACGGAAAAGTAGATGGCAACTTCTTCACATACACCGCATTTCGCGCTGTTGTTGGGGGCGGCCCTCCCACGGCTTTCAAGATATTAAAGGCAACCATGGCTGAGTTCCCTGCTCTCAATGGCCAGAGTCTTTCATACGCCATCCTCGAATTCCCATCTAATAGTACCAATCCACCACACACTCATCCTCGCGCCGCTGAACTCCTTTTCCTTATTGACGGTACCCTCGAAGTCGGTTTCGTGGACACCAAAAACAAACTCTTTACACAGACCCTTCAAGTAGGTGATCTTTTTGTATTTCCCAAGGGACTAGCACACTTTCAGTACAATGCTGATCCACAATTCCCAGCTCTGGCAATTTCTGCCTTTGGAAGTGCAAATGCAGGTACCGTATCAATACCCAGCACCTTGTTTGCCACCGGCGTTGACGACAATGTCTTGGCTATCTCCTTCAAGACCGATGTTGCCACCATTCAGAAGCTCAAGGCTGGACTTGCACCCAAGCCATGAGGACAGAATTGTTAACCAGAAGTTCAATGTTCAGCTCAAGCAATTTTCTATCCCTTTTTTACTTCTAATTCTGTTTGAATAATTTACCCTTAATGTATTCAAAGGGCATCTTCCTACAAATGATTATGGTCAACCAACTAAAATCTTCACTTTCTTTTCCATTGTTTTTCCTCAATGCCAAACGTCCTAAAGTTAAACAGTACAGAGAAATATACTCATTCGAGATAGCAAGTAAAACAGAATTATGCTCTAAGCCTATAAAACAGACCAAAAAGAAAAGGCAGCATATAAAATCGGACCCGTCTGTAAATACGAATTCTTAACGCAAAGCTCAGTTTTTTTTTTTTTTTTATTTGTTGAACGTAAAGCTCAGTTAGCGAGGACAAAAACTACATAACATTCCAGTTCTTCAATGCTAATACCGCCATAAACTACATCCGCCCCCAAAATTTATGGATAAAATCATCGGAGATGAAACATATGCAAGTCGCTTACAGTCTTCTACCTCTTCTGCCACCCTTTCTTCTGGTGCTGTGAGTGGGAATTGGAGTCGCATCCTCTGGAAAACAAAAAGCAAGAATGATTCAAGACCACCACTGATAAAAGGATTGGCATACAAAGTTAAATCGTTCTAGGTTCAGTCGGTACATTACTATATCTCACAACAGAAACCCCTACCAAATCACCTAGGCTAGAACGATGACGAGGATAGGTTGCACTCTTTTTCATGCAATAGTCGTGCAATAGTGATCTTAAACATTCTTTTAGAAATAAAAGGGCTTATCGATCCGGCCAATCCTCATTCCAGATCGCGCATGGGCCCGTAGTGGAGAGTGAGGACCATGACCAGGAGTCTTGGTTTTGTTGCCTCCAGTGGCACGGAGCTTAATACGAAGAGCAATAATTCTAAGTTCCTGTTAAGAATTGAAAGTCAACTCATCATACTGATTAAACTCTTTCATTTGGTAGCAAATCAACCATAACCTATTCAGGCTGGCAATAGTATTCAGTTTCTAATCATGAACGTGGTTAATGGGAGATGAGGATGACCTTGCATCTCTGAGACACGTCCTGTGCAGCAAGCATGGCCGCATATGGTGAAGACTCATCCTGATCAGCCTTTACCTTCATACCACCTATATTTGGTTCGTATGTTAGAATTTTGACTTCAGACACAGCTACTCAGGCCTACAACCAATGCAAGCAAAACATAGAACCCCAAATACCATTAAAGAAAAGTACAAACTAAAATGACAACGCGGAAACAGCCATGTCAAATATTCACATCAAAATTGGAACCAACTGATAAACATCCTAGACCAGCCAATCTTAAGCTTGAGAAATACTCACGACTAATTTTGGCCACGCCCCAGTGCGCCGAACTGAAGCCTCCGTATAAACTCCAATATGACTCAAAAAAATTTATGGGAAGTGTATGTCTTTCAAGGGGCATGGAAATCAAGCATTCAAGAAACAGTTTCTCCACTATCTAATGCTGAAAATATATATACCTCATTTAGACAAGGCCCAATCGCAACCAAATGTGGTTTGAATCGGATGTTACTACATCTATAAATTTTTAATGTTTCATACTTCAGATGAGTATCTACCTGATCAACTTGGGTATTAAGTAAGACAAGAAAAACAATCACAAGAATTATGGAATCAGAATCTCTGATATAATTGATGACGGGTCCAGCAACTTAGCTTGTCCTCATACTATCAGCAGTACACATGCAGGCATATGATAATTTCTTACAATTCTAATGTACAGCTGTTACATCTTGTTAGCTTGATTAGTGAATAAGTCGTTAGTTACTAGAGAACCCACAAATGTGGCTTCGGCTACTCTTTGTTATCATCTATAATATAGATTTGTACATGTGCTTTTGCTAAAGTAACGAGAAGTAGCTAAGAAAATGGGAATGGTGATGCAAAATTGGATTCAATTCTCACAGAGCAACCAACATGCTTTCTGTGTGTATATTCATTTACTCATCACGGCCAATGGCTGTTATAAAATGTGTTTTTTTTTTTAAAAAATAACTAACTAAAAAATATATAAAGAAACAACAAAATTGCACATTTACTATAATACAATATTTCATGAAGAATCATATGGTCAAAATGTATTACAAGATGTACAAAGCTACCACCAATGATTTAAACTACACATGAATTCCAAATTGGCTCTAAAAACAAGGAAATTGTCACTTGAAAGACTTCACTTTTCTTTGAACACCTGCAAACGAAGTCCTTTGATTGTGAAATACTGCTCGTAATGCTTGAACCTCACTAATTGCTCTCCTTATCTGTATAGACAAAAGCATGGATCAAAAGAAAATCTAATTTATCTAATAAAAACGAAGCATAACAAAACTAACAGTTTTAAACAATCCCATCCAACTACTAGAACATCAATAAATCTAATATCATAACATTTATTCATACATAAAACTTTGAAAGAAAACTCATGTCTCAGGAACATCATATATACAAATTCAATCTACAAAACCATCGATTTCACTAATATAAATAAAATAATAAATTAAAAAATCCAAATACATATCAACTATGGACTCGTTTGGAAAATACTTTTTAAATGACTAAAAGCGCTTTTGTTAAAATTGATTCGAGTCCCAAAAGCATTTTAAGTGTTTTTTGGAAGAAGTATCAGATATATGCTTCTTGCAACAATCACTTAAAATGATTTTTCAGGATTCATTTGAATTTTTACTAAGAATTGGTTTTGAAAACAATTTCACCAAAAGTGTTTTTAGTAATTTTAAAAGTACTTCCAAACAAACCTTATATATCCATTAAGTTTAATGTGAGCAAGCTTATTAAATGGAGAAAATCCACTAACTATTGAAACTGAGCAACACAAAATATTTAATAAAGCAAAGATAATTAATTAAAATAAAATAAAAGGAATGAAGAAAGAACATTTTCGCAAAAAGAATTCTACCAGATTCCTCCACAAGGAACACCGCTCCAATTTGGTCTTTGCCCTAGCCAACTCAATCGCAGAAAGCACTATCAGCCAATACTTAACCTAAAATTTTAAAATAATATGTTGTAAACTCCAAATCTTGAAGCATAAAAATCAAACCTAAATTATGGAGATTCATTTAACAAAGGTGGAGTAAATAGATGGAAGATTTGCTGATAGAACCTAGCCTATGATGCACGGATACTTCTGTTTGACCCTATATCCTATATCCCGTATCCGATACTTGATCGGATACTATACTTGCCCGATACTTTCAGATACTCGTTCGACACATATCCTGGTTGATGGACACGAATTGGACATAATGGATATGCGTATCCTACGTTTAAGATACACGTATTCAGCTTTTATGATACATTTACGCTTTCAGAAAAGGTAATGAGGAGGAGAAAATTGGATAACTAATAGGAGACATCTATAATTGAAAGTTGCTTAATACAGAGAGCTTGTATAAAGAGGATTAGATTTTGAACTTTTCTTCTCTAACAACTCAAATGTACTTGAATTTGAATGATGAATTATGTTTTAAAATGTATATTTTGTTACTATATACATTTTTATTTACCGTATCCATAACATATCGTATCTTAATTTTTAAAGATTTTGCGTATAACCGTATATGTATCCATATGGATCCTTCATAGAACCCAGAATATTTAAAAAACAAAATATGAAAGGTTCGAAAACAATTGACTAATGTCAGAGTAGATGGAAAACAATTGACTAAAACTCCTTCAAATTGCAGAGTTGATGGAAAGTGAAAATAATCAATTTTCGTTAAAAACCAACCATGCCAGTGAAATCGGTGAAATTTTTAGTTGTGACGGAAACACGGATGATACAGTACGTATTTTTATGTAAGTAATAGAAAGTTTTAATTTTTAAGTTATTAATATTTTAACATACATATCTCACAATTTATATAAAAACATATAATGTATTGTCTCGTGTGACGATTACATTGAAAAATCTCTCGTAAAATCGTAAGGGGATTCGCTCTTGTACTGGCCAGCCACTGTACAAACCTGCAGCAAAGTCGATGAAACAAGACTCGAAAAATCTAGCTTTATCAAAACCCCTAATAAACAGAATGGAGGGTCAGAAATACAGTGAACCCAAAACAACAGCAGAATTTAAGATGTATTCAAATTAAAATATGAGAGATTTTAATGGATTTATAAATAAAAAACCAATGAAAATAACTTTCACATTTTCAATTTTAACCAAAAATCATATTATAATTTTATTTAATGGTTAAGACAACGTTAAATCAGTCCAATTAAAATATCCCAACGTCTAACATCCTTCCAAAACTCTCTGCTACGCTCTGTCGCCCCCTCTCTATCTCCTCTTCCGTTGCTCCGTCGCCCTAACAGTGACCACCTCTGCCATCTCACTCGCTCTCAATCATCATCAGGTACTACCGTCACTCATGTCCTCATTATCTCCGCCCATTGACGCCGAACAGCACTGCATCAGCGTCTACAACAACACCGTTGGAGTTTCCCGTCGAGATTCACCAAGAGGAGAGGGTCTACATCTCGGAGTTGATCTTCGGACACCTCCTGACCAGTATCAACTATGATGATACGGTGAAGAAGACCACCGGTGGACGCAAAGGCTACGGCGCCAAGCTTACGAACATTTTCTCCACCGAGTTCATCATCGAGACGGTGAACGGAATGCGATAGAAGAAGTAGAAGTAGGTATAAAATTGTGGATTCTCTAATTTATGTGATATTTGATTTGTGTTTTAGGGTTTTTGTGTTTTGTGGAATTTAGGAATTAGGATTTGGTCTTCTATTTTAGGGTTTGGTGTATATAAAATTGTGAATTTTTGGGTTTCAATGTTTGGTGGAATTGCAGAATTAGGATTTCGTCTTCCATTGTGATAGTTCATTTGATGTAATTTCGTTTTGTAACTTGTGAATTATTGGGGATTACTGTGACTAATTTTTCTATGGGTTTGACTAATTTGTGATTGTTCGTTTTATTGACTTAAAAGTATGTTTATCTTGAGCACCTATAAGAGGTCTTGAGAAGATGATGAACATGGAAATGGCATTGAAAGCCAACAGAAGAGAATTTTCAAAGAATTTTGAGATTTCATTTTAAAGAATCCACACACACACACACACACACACACACACATATATATATATGTATATGCACACATTTAATCAGAAATATGAATATATACTAGCTAGTATGCATATAGTTTTTGACGGTGATTAGTAGTTGAATTGAACCATTAAATAGAATTATATATAAAACTATGACAGAAACTTGGCAACGTCAAACCAAAAGTATACTTTAACAGAAGTGAAGAACTTTACCCCGATCCCCGATTTTTTTTTTTTTTTTTTTTTTGAAGTCCAGTGTCTATACAACCAAATTCTTAGACTTTTCCTTTTAAGAGTTATTGTCAAATTATATTGGAAAGTGGTCTTGTTATCGCATCATGAAACTAGAATGTTATAGTTTGTGTTCTTTGTCAAACATCCACTGCATAGTTTAATTAATAAATATCTGCTCTCATTCTTCCCATCTAATAAACTCCTTATTCAATGGAATTTATAGGATCCTGAAACAAAAAAGCCTTGTGTGAAGCTATTTTGACAAAGCGACCGGAAAGAAAAAGGGAGACACAATTGTTACATATATATGAAGGTAACAATGCTTTTTGTACTTATGCTGCCTTTGTGATTGTGTTTGGATCCAATTTTACATTTTCGGCCCAAGCAATCGAGACCGTCAGCTGATTATGAAAATTTAGAGATTTTTCCTGGCATTACTATTTATTTTAATCATAGTAATTATCTTGAAAATATCCTTAAAGCTTACAGAGTTCTGCGTGAGATTCTTTTGCAGATAATCAAGAGTTTTATCGGAATGTAGAGAAATTAAAGGAGATTGCACAGTTGGCTGCTTGCCAACCCTTTACAATCAACACGGTAGTAAGGAGAGTTATGTGAGGGCTTGTCGTGCAACTTTAGGATTCTATCCTAATCAAAATGGTATCTAGTCAGTTGCATGGATTCCAAATTTGAATGGGTTTGCATGCAGAACCATGTGGAACAATGGTACAAGGATGCAACTTTGGATGATTAGCATATGG